AGTAATTCAGAGAGAGCTAGCAAGGGGATTTATAAGACAGTGTGTTAAGTGCCATAAAGGTGGTGTGAATAATTTTATTAGAACAATGAAACCTGATTACAGCAAGGAAAAGTGAAAATAGAAAGTTGTGTGATAACACCCAAAACAGCAGCTCATGTTTGGAGAGGCTTCAAAGGGTGGATGATATTTGAGCTTGACTTCCAGCAGAGAGACAGCACGGGTAAAATACAGACATCTCCCCTGGAAGCAGTTAAAGAGACGTGTGTCTCTTGGAGCTCATGGGTGGACAGTGGTTGAAAGTGCTGAGGATCTTTTTTTTTTTTGGAGGGGTCTGATTGTGGGGCCTGAACTCTGGACCTGGGCGCTGTCCCTCAGCTCTTCAGCTCAAGGCTAGCACTCTACCACTTGAGCCATAGCACCACTTCCGGCTTTTTTTTTTTCTGCTTATGTGGTGCTGAGGAATTGAACCCAGGGCCTCACACATGCAAGGTAAGCACTCTACCACTGAGCCACCTTCCCAGCCCATGCTAAGGATCTTGAAATCCTGGTGTCATAAATTGAATAACAGCCACTTGAGGACATCAAGTCCTAGTCCCTGAAACTTACAAATGCTGCTTGATTTGAAGAAGGATCTTTGCAGGTCTGTATTTAAACAGAAATTTGGAGATGAGATTATTCTCAAAGACTCAGGTGGGCCTTCAAGGCCATCACAAGTATCTTCAGACAGGAGAAGGAAAAGAAGACAATACAGAGGAGAGAACAATGTGGAGTCAGGCTGGAGAGAGATGCAGCCACAAGCCAAGGAATGTCAGCAATCACCCATAATGGGAAGAAACAAGGGACAGGAAAAGTACAGACTGATGACACCTCGTTATTGAAGGTTTGACTTTAACAATGGTAAGATACACTGATATTTGTTATGGCATCCCTAGGGAATGAGTATGCCTAGAGTCCCTGGAAGTGATGCCCAACCAATGACGGTGCTAAACCAATTACCCACTGGACACTGCCCTTTAGATTACTAACCCTTGCTTTGTGTGTGTGTGTGTGTGTGTGTGTGTGTGTGTGTGTGTGTGTGTATGCCAGTTCCAGAGCTTGCACTTAGGCTGTCCCTGAGCCTTTTTGCTCAAGACTAGCACTTTACCACTTGAGCCACACCTCCACTTATACATTTTTGGTAGTTGATTGGAGACAAGAGTCACATGGACTTTCCTGCCTGTGCCAACTTCAAACCGCAGATCTCAGCCTCCTGAGTAGTACTTAACAATTCAGGTATACAGGTATGAGCCACCAGAGCCTGCTGGCCTATTTTTTTTTTTTAAAGGATCAAAGGTGACCATCTCCCCAAAGGCTCTGGAGCTGCTAGACTAAGGGGCAGATGTGAGGGTATATCCGATCCCTCTTATAGTTCGATCCTCTCAACTAACTCTTGGCCGGTTACAGCAACCAACCTGGTGCGGAAGTAACCAGACAACAACTGGCTTTTATTGTTCAGCAAATCTCTCTCTTTCTACCCCTGGGCCTCACTGTACTGCTATTCAAGATGACAGCAATACCAAGTCAGCCATTACACACACACACACACGCGCGTGCGCGCACACACACACACACATACACACACCCCGAAATGTAAGAGAGTTAATACACTGGGACACACCCCTGCCCAACAAAGATGGAAATTAATAGAGAAATATCCTTTTTTTGGCTTTTTTTTTAACCAGTCCTAGGACCTGAACTCTGGGCCTCAGGCACTGTCCCTCAGCTCTTCAGCTCAAGGCTAGCGCTCTACCACTTGAGCCACAGTGCCAGAAGCTTTTTCTGCTTCTGTGGTGCTGAGGAATCAAACTCAGGGCCTCGTGCATGCAAGGCAAGCACTCTACCACTGAGCCACCTTCCCAGCCCAGAGAAACATCCTTTTTTGAAAGGACAATTCTGAGTTGAAATCCGTATGATTCCCTGGGTGTCCTTAGTGAGACCGAGTCCCAAAATCAGCTCAATAATACAGGTCAGACTTAAGAACTGGCTGCTGTTGTTTTTTTGGTGCAGATTGCTGGTGTTCCTTCAGGTGGGGTTTGGTTGGGCAGGGACAAGCATGGAGGCCATGCTGTGTGGTCCCTGCATCCTACAGGAATGGAAGATTCTGCTCATCCTCTTCCTGAGGTCTAGTTGACCATGTGATTAAGTTGCTCTAGTTCAGCTTTTTTTTTTTTGGTTGGCATGGGGTTTGAACTCCGGGCTTGAGCGCTGTTCCTGAGCTCTTTTGCTCAAGGCTAGTGCTCTACTACTTTGACCCCTGATGTTTTGGAAATAAGAATCTCACCAGGACTTTGAACTGTGATCCTCACATCCCAGCCTCCTGAGTAGCTAAGATTACTACCAGAGTTCAGCTTTCAGCCTTTTTCATCTCCACATTTATATTTTGTGAAAAAAATAGAATGGACTCTTAAAAAAAAAATCTCACTTGTTGACAAACTTTGAATTTTACCACGGATTCCAATTTATATCCACATGAACTCATGGCACCAAACTGATTCATTGACTTTTAACCTGCTGTTATATATATATATATATTTTTTGGGGGGTCCGGTTGTGGGGCCTGAACTGTGGGCCTGGGCACTGTCCCTCAGCTCTTCAGCTCAAGGTTAGCGCTGTACCACTTGAGCCACAGTGCCACTTCCGGCTTTTTTTTTGCCACCTTGCCAGCCTTCTATCATTATTTTCTGGTATAACAAAATATTTCAAGCTCATCTGTTGCTTTTCCTATCTTTATCCTGGATCCAGACACTCTTCTAGGGACCCCCTAGTTCACTGAGGTAAAGAAAGTAGAGTGCTTGCCTTGCATTCATGAGGCCCTGAGTTCTATTCTCAGCACCACATAAGCAGAAAAAGCCAGAAGGGCGCTGTACCTCAAGTGGTAGAGTGCTAGCCTTGAGCTGAAGAGCTGAGGGACAGTGCCCAGGCCCAGAGTTCAGGCCCCACTATGCACCAAAAAAAAAAAAAGGAACAGAAAAGAAAAAAAAATAAGATCAGGGTGGGGAATGTGACTTAGTGGTAGAGTGCTTGCTTAGCATGCATGAAGCCTCAGTACCATATACACAGAAAAATTTGGAAGTGGGCTGGGAATGTGGCTCAGTGGTAGAGTGCTTACCTTGCATGCATGAGGCCCTGGGTTGGATTCCTCAGCACCACATAAGCAGAAAAAGCTGGAAGTGAGGCTGTGGCTCAAGTGGTAGAGCGCTAGCCTTGAGCTGAAGAGCTGAGGGACAGTGCCCAGGCCCAGAGTTCAGGCCTCACAACCACACACACAAAAAAAAGTTGGACGTGTCACTGTGGCTCAAGTGGTAGAGTGCTAGCCTTGAGCAAAAGAAGGTCAGGGACAGTGCCCAAGCCCTGAGTTCAAGCCCCATGACTGGCGGGGGGGAAAAATAGAAAGAAAGAAAAGAAAAAAGAAAGATTTGGTTGTACAGTATATTTACTGCTTATAGGGTGCCACTGCTCCCAAACCCTCTTACTGTGTAAAATCTGGCAAGGTATATCTGAATATCTAGGCATAGACATCACTTTTTTTTTTTAATTGTTCTAGTCCTGGGCTTGAACTCAGGGTCTGTGCACATTGTCTCTGAGCCTCTCTGTGCTCAAGGCTAGCACTCTACCACTTGAGCCACACTGCCACTTCTAGCCTTTTCTGTTTATGTGGTGCTAAGGATTTGAACCCAGGGCTTCATGAATGCTAGGCAAGCACTCTACCACTGAGCAATATTCCCAGCCCGTATATTTTACTCATTTTTTTTCACTCATTTTTTTCTACTGGCTTGAATAATGCTACTTATCATTTTCTCCAGTCTTTTTATGGGGGGGGGGTCTTGCTGCAATGTGGTAGGACAAAAGCCCACCACACATGGCACAGGAGACTGTCCAAATTATTCTCCTTCTTCTTTGCTACTTTCCATCTGTGATTAATTAGCTAAGGAGTCTGTGTGGTTAATTGTAGCCTGGATGGTGTTGGTTAGCTTTAAAGATGACCATACACAAGTAGTTTGTGAGTCTGTGCAGGTTTACAAATCACAGGGAGAGTTCCAATCCCGAGTTTAAGACCAATGAGGCAGGGGTCTGGCCTGTCCATTTCTGCAGCACTCAGGCCGCGGTGGAGTAGGTAACCAGGGTGCACCTTCTATTAGAATCAGCAGTCGAATCCATGCAGAGCTGGAATTTTCACTCGGGGATTTAGGGTGGGACTAAACACGACTCTTTGTAGGAGTCTACAGAGTCAGGGTTCTTTCATTATTAGATGAGGATAGTTATAGCACCACTACAGGGGTTTGAACTGAGGCTCTGCTTTTGCTAGACTCTCTACCCCTTGAGTCACACCCCTTACAGCGGGAGCCACGCCCTACCCCCAATGGACCACGCCCATTCTTTAACCACGCCCACGAGCTTCAGCTCCGCCTTGGCGCGCTGGCCACGCCCCCTGGCGCTTCCAGGACGCCGTCACGTTGGGCCACGCCCCCACCGCTGGAGCCACGCCTCCACGCCCCCACCCACCTCTTTTTTTTGTTTGTTTTTTTCTTTAGTTATTTTTCAGCTAGGGCTTCACTTTTAGCAGGAGCCTCCTACCTCTGTCTCCCACGTGGCTGGGAAGAGCCACCCTGAGGACCCCGGAGGCCAGGTCGAAGAGAAAGTCTTTTTTCCAGGACCGGCTCTATGCAAATGAACGGAGGGAAGGGTTTGAGAGGGGCGCTGCGGGATTTCCCGGTGAGCCTGTCAATCATCAGTCCCGCCCCGCCTCCGGCCTGCACGTGTGCGCACGGCCTTTTCCCGCCGCGCGGCCCCGTGCACTGGCGCCCACGGGCCGCGGGAGGCGCTGCGCGCAGCCCCAGCGGCGGCGGCGGGGACGCAGGCCTCCCCCTTCCCCCCTCCCCTGCTTCCTCCGGCTCCTCCCGCCTCTCCTCGCCGCCTCCTCCCCCTCACTACGGTTCCCAGCCCCGGGGCTGGCTCAGGCGCGTCCGGCTTGCTGGGAAGCAATGGCAACTTGCGCCGTGGAGGTGTTCGGACTCCAGGAGGACGAGGTGCGGGGACCTCCCCACCCCTGCCCGAGGGTGGCGGGCGGGCTTCGCATCCCGGAGGGAGGAACTGGGGTGCCCGGAGGCTCCGCGCTCTGCACCGCCTCCCCCCCCCGGTCCACCCCGTGGCTGGGGAACCCCGGGAGGAGGGCGTCCGGGCGGAGAGCCCTCCCCGGAGCGGCTTCTGTGGAGAAGCGGTGAGGGAGGGGGACGAGGCGGGGACCCGGTGCGGGGAGGGGGGGGGTGTCGCGGTCCGCAACCCCTCCCGGCGCCTTCCTGCCGGGCCCCTGCCCGCCTGGGGTGCGGCTAGCTCCGGGAAGGGGGGGAGGGGGGCGGAGGGGGCGGGGCCCTGGTCCCCGGGGCTCAGCATCCCGCCCCCCCCCCGCCCAAGGCCCAGCACCCCTGAACTTCAGAATCTAGAGACTGGCAAGGGCATCGTCCATACTAATTGATCTTGTCGTTGTTGTTATGGATGGCTCTGAATCATCCAAAGTGGAGACCGAGATAGGGAAGCCGGCAGAGAGAATTTTCTTCTACTCAGCAACAAGTGTCCAGCGGTGGGAAGTCCACCCTTTATTATTAATTATTATTATTGATGTTTAAAAATAGGAAAACAAGGCTGCGCGCTGTGCACTGTGCGATCTAAGGCTCTAGGGTTTGAAGATCATTCTGTCTCTTCTTGGCTTTGATGACTTAGTTATTCAACGCCCATGGGTGTCCCAGTGTGAAGCTCTTGGCAAAGGTTAGTTTTGAGTGATAGGTGGTTGGGTCCCCCGAAGTAGGAGTGGGAGATAGATTCCAAGACTCAGATTGAGGGAGAGAGAAAAAAAAAATCCCAGGTGTGTGTTTCTGGTGGTTGATTAAACTGTCCTGGGTACCTGTTATCCAGATGGCATTCCATTGGCTGGAAATCCCTGGCCTCCTACCTTTGGCTGATCTAGGTGACTTCTCAGGAGATGTTTGTCTTAGTGTCTGTGCTGAGCACGTGGGTGTCCTTTGGTGCTTTTCTGGAGAACGCTAACACAAGTGAGCATTTTGTCAGATAGGCACACAGCTAATTTCAGAGCACTTGAAGAATGTGTATGAGCTGCGATTCAAATTTAATTTCTTATGGGATTAAGACATTCAAAGCTCCGCCCTCCCCTTTCCCAGAATGTACATGTATGTGCAGTGAGGTTGGAAGTTGGAGACAGACAATATGTTAGGCGAAAAGAAGCCTGGGTAGAAGTCCTGGGGTGCATATATATTTCAGAATGTTAGAAGAAAGGAGGTTGAATGTTTCACCTTAAAGAAATAATAAATATTTGAGACAATAAGTCTAATCTTCTTTAAAATACCCTTCAACGGATACATGTATCAAAGTCACCCAGTGACTCGTAAATATGTGTAATGTTTGATGTAGGAGTTTAAAAATGGGTTTTTTGTTTGTATGCTCTCATTAGAACTTGAACTCAAGGCCTGGGCACTGTCCCTTAGCTTTTCAATAAAGGCTGTCACTTGAGCCACACCTTTACTTCTGGCTTTTTGGTGGTTAATTGGAGATAAATGTCTCACCAACTTCCCTGCCCAACCTGACTTCAAACCAAGATGCACAGATCTCAGCTTCCTGAGTAACTTTATGATTCATCCATCTTTCTTATCTCACTTCCTTCCAGCAGAGACAACTGATCACAAACAGAAATTCCAGAAGTATCATGTGCTTTGTGTTTGCTTGCTCTTGGAACAGATCTATATTCTCAATGATCTCTTTTCACCTCCCTGTTAGGCTGAAATAAAACTAACTGTGGCAGTGAATGGGTAGCCATTGGCAACTGAGGCCAGAAACTCCACCCCTTGAATGAGTATTTCCTGAACTCCTTGAAGAATTTGTAACTTCTGGGAAATGATGGCATGGCCCATACCCTATTAGTATGATGACCTCTGGCTGTGACTTTCATGATTCCAATATCTTTCCACTTCTATTTTGCCTACATAAAGGAAGAACGTGAAGACAAGAGAAGACAAGAGACATCATGACAAAGTCTTCCACTTGTTCTTTTTGAATTGGGTTATTCATTCAACCGACATTCATTAACTCTGCAGTGTATCATGCACCAGGCTGAGTCCCAGGGATACTGAGAAAAGAGATTGTCTGAGCTTTGTTGGAGTTCACTGTCTGGGGGAAAGAACAAACTTTGCTTGTTTCTGTGTATGATGGTGGGGATATATCACTATCTTTGTTATTATTTTCTGGTCCATCACAACAATTGAAAGATAAAGACAAGGTAGGCTGTTTCATGCCTATAATCCTGGCTACACAGGAAGCAGAGATCTGAGGATCATGGTTGGAAGCCAATGTGAGTAGGAAAGTCAGACTTTTTTTTCTTTTGTGGGTGGTGGGGCTTGAACTCAGGGCCTGGGCACTGTCCCTGAGTGTTTTTAGTCAAGGCTAGCACTGTACCACTGTGAGCAACACCACCACTTCTGTTTTTCTGGTGGTTATTTGGAGGTAAGAGTCTCACTGACTTTCCTGCCTGGGCTGGCTTTGAACCATGATCCTCAGATCTCAGCCTCCTGAGTAGCTAGGATTGCTGGTGTGAGCCACCACTGTATGGCTCCTACGAGACTCTTACCTCCAATTAACCACCAAAAAGCGGGAAGGGGAGCTGTGACTCAAGTAGTAGAGTGCCAGCTTTGAGTGAAAAAAGCTCAGGGATAGAACTCAGGCCCTGAGTTCAGGCCCCACTACTGGCGCATGCGTGTGCACGCGTGAGCACACACACACACACACACAGAGTTAAAAGATCCTTGGAAAATGTAAACATTGTATTTATTGGGCTATAAATGTTCCTTTTTGGGGGGAAGGGGGTCCGGTTGTGGGGCCTGGGCGCTGTCAGCTCTTCAGCTCAAGGCTAGTGCTCTACCACTTGAGCCACAGCGCCACTTCCGGCTTTTTTCTTCTTGCTTATGTGGTGCTGAGGAATCGAACCCAGGACCTCAGGCATGCAAGGCAAGCGCTCTACCACTGAGCCACCTTCCCAGCCCCTAAATGTTCCTTGATTTATATGTGCCTTGTGAAATGATTAAATCAGGGTAAACGTATCTATCTCCTCAATCAAGCATTTATTTCTTTTATGATGAAACATTCAAACTCCTTCAAAGGCACTCCCACACACACCCACACCCTGTGCTTTTAAAAGAAAAATATTGCAGCTAAGTCACCTCTGGAACTCAGACTCATTTGAGAATAGGCAGTCCTCTGCTGCTGAGGAAAAGTAAAGTAGCTTTTCTGTAAGAGCAAATGAAACAAGGTGAAGTGAAACATGAATAGAAGCAATAGAATGTAGAGAAAATTGTGATTAAAAGGCAGGCACCAGCCGGGCGCCAGTGGCTCATGACTGTAATCCTAGCTACTCAGGAGGTTGAGATCTGAGGATCGAGGTTCAAAGCCAGCCCGGGCAGGAAAGTCCATGAGACTCTTATCTCC